TTGTTTGGAATAAACCCATGTATATATGAACTAGAACCTTAGTAACAATACTTTTTGACTTTCCCTCATACGACTGAGTAATATTCCATTATATGAATACATCACATTTTGCTTATCTATTCATTAGTTGTTGGGAGATTTGGCTATAGAACAGTGTTTCTACCTCTGGCTATTGAATAGTGCTGCAATGAACAATGGTATACGTGAAGTCTGAATTGCTGCATTCAGATCTTTTGTGAACATATCTAAGAGTAGAACTGCTTGGTCCTATGTCAGAACTACGTTAAACTTTTTGAGGAACACCCAAATTGTTTTCACAGTGGCTGTACCATTTTACATTCTTCCTAGCAATGGATGAGAGTTCCTGTTTCCCCAATCTCAACAACACCTAGTTTTCTTGATCAATGCCATTCTTATGGGGAGGGGGTGGGGGGGGTTAGATAGTGTTTCATTGTGGTTTTGATTTGCTTTTACCTAAGGTCGGCAGTTCAAGCTCACCAGCTACTCCTTAGAAACCCTGTACAGGGTCGCTATGGGTCGCAACCGACTTGACAGCACTTCACAACAACAACGTCTAATGAAGGACTCCTGGTGTGGTGCTGTAGGATAAGCACTGGACTGCGAACCACAAGGTCATTCTCCAGATGCTCTTCGGATATTCTATACAGGGTTGCTTTGAGTCGGAACCAATTCGTTAGCGCTTAACAACAACGTCTAATGACTTTGAGCACATTTTCATGTGCTTCTTGGCCATTTGAATATCTTCCTTGGTGAAATGTCTGTTCAAGTCTCTTCAATGAGAACCGTCTAGACCCGGGAAGACTGACGCCAAGACACATGTAGATCTTCAAGGTACAAAGGGCCCACAGATGTTGAGAGGCGACAAGGACCTTCCTCTGGAGCTAACAGAGACAGAAAGCTTGATTTGGGTTCATCAGCTCTTACAACTATGTTAAGTCAGGAGAAGCCTCTAGCCTGCCTGATTCAAGGATTTGCGATTTGCCAGTTTCCACAATTGTGAGAGCCATTTCTGTGATGATTCATGAGTTCTGTGAGATGTTGCAGCAAATTGTGGGACCCAAAAATGTGAAAAGAGCACTGAGGGGATGAGGAGTAGCTGGTGCCAGAGATGATGGAGTGTGGAAAAGTTGGATATTTGAGACAGCTTTAACATTTGCCTTATAAGCGCTAGTTTTTTGCTGATCCTTATAAATGTAGTTATTCACTCATATTGGCATTTCTGAGTTGTTGGCTTCTTCACCTCCAAGTCTGGTATGTATGATGCAAAAGGAAAACCCAGGGAACTCACCACCATCTTGTTCCTTTGTAACTGAAGTCCTCAGTCAATTTGTCTTCTTGTCTGCAACTTTCAAAGTCTTCTTTTGTCTTACATGTAATGTACAGAGACTTCAGTTGTATTTAGTGGGAGGAATAGAGAAAATCTGTCTACTTCATCTTCCCAGAAGTAGAAATCATACAGTGTCCTTTAGTTTTTATTTATCATGAAAAGTCAGCAAGTAAGATTATACAAAGAGGTCTATGTCATTTGGCATTTTCTATACATTCCAAGAGTGCTCTGGGGTCCAAATAGAGCACAGGTTCTCCACTTACAGGGCAGTAAGATTCTGAAAGCACACCTATTCTGGTAGTCCTGAATAACTACCTAGATACAGATCTTGGGTCTCAGCCCAAAGAAATGAAACTACATTTTTTGGGGTCACATGTTTTCCAAATCCAAATAAAAAAAAATAACAGCACCTATTTCCCCAGTTTTCTTGATTGTAAGGACATTTTGAAAGACTTAAAATTCTACTAACATAGCACATAGTTTTACAATTATTACAGTCCCATATTCTAGTCTAATATTTCAGTCCCATATTCCAGTCTAATATTTTCTTTAAAAGGAAGCAACAAACAGTATCATCAAATGCAAAAATCTCCTTCTTGGCACTCGTAATAAAAAGGACTGATCTATAAAGTGTACTGCTGTTGTCATTAAGCGCCTTTGAGTAGGTTCAGAGCCCCTATACAGGGTCTCTGTATGAGGAGCAGCTGGTGTGTTTGAACTGCCAACCTTGTGGTTAGCAGTCCAGTGCTTAACTATTAATAGTCAAGACATAACAAACTTGTGTATGACTTGTAATGGTTTGTAATGAATGTCTATTATCATGTTAACATAAAATTTTATTACACTACTTTGACAACCTAAAGAGTTACGGTTGTGAAAAAAAATTTTTTTTTCTTCCCCATTTTCCTTCAAGTATTTCAAAATTGAATATGTTTTCAAACTATACCTTATACATGAAGTAAATTTCCAATCATTTTTTACTCCTAAACAATTTCAAATTCAGGTTTAAATCAACACACTAACTGGAAAAGTTTCCTTTTGCCCAGCTTTACCTCCCCCTATTTGATAATAAGCCTAATTAAGCACAGGGTAGTCACGGCACTCACCATGTGTTTGGCAAAGCTTCCACCTGGGCCAGTGCTGCGTACCAGATGCCCTTCTGAAGGGAAGTTAAAGTTGCCAGCATTCAGGTTTTCTTGTGTAGAATGATTACCAAACAGAACAAATGGCTGCCTATTAGGGCTACAGTGGCAAGTCAAAAACAAATGATTAGAAAGGTGACTTTTGACCAGGGAGGCAACTTCTAATGTCCTGAGTGAATTCTTGGCTTTTCTGAGTGGCATCCTGCAGTCTGAGGAAAGTGGGCCGTATAGTCCACCTAACATCCTTGGCTGTCTGGGTAGGAATGCCGGATGTCTCTGCCTCCTTCTAATGACACACAGAAGCCATTTAGACATATAACTAAACCTAAACTAGGTTTATACTTTTGACTTCTTGACTTACAAGCTCAGTACATTTGCTGTCCATGATGCATTGATAGAGCAAAGTACCAGTTTTATAAAATAGCATTTTAATAGATAAACACATTTTAAGGACTGATACTAGCTGAGGCTTTCTGCTCCCATAGAGATTTACAACCTCGGAAACCCTGTACAGGGTCACTATGAGTTAGAACTATGACTCCATAGCACATAACGACAACTAGCTGTGGTATATAGAACAGTTATCAATTCCTAACTAACTTTCAGGAGGAAAAGAAAAGAGGTTGATTGAAAACGTTCTCATCAACAGACCTATCTGCCCTTGTAACTTGCTCCTCCTCCCTTGGCTAGACTTTTTTTGTTTTTACTTTATGTTCACTTCTGAGCCCCCTCTAATCGACCCTTCCAGTCATTTCACTCAAAAAGTTCTTGCAAAAGTCATCACCAAATGACTGTCATGTAGCTACTCCAAACGACAGTCTTTGCTTCTTTGCACTCGCAGAAGCATCTGACAACCCTCCCACTCCAGGAGTTGTTACATCTCAATCTCCTTTATCAGTCATCCTCACATTCTATCTGGCCTTCCAGTACTCCTAGAGCTTCACCTTCAGCGTCTGCTTTCACTTCTCCTTTCTCATGACCCCTCCTTAAACCTGTTTCCCATCCACAAATGGTACCACTATTCATCCAGGGACCAACCCAGACATAAGATGTCTCCTTGAATTATCCTGCTCTGTTACCCCTAAATCCAGTCAGCCAACCATTCCTATCTGTCCATTTTCCTCCATCCACCTTGCCACAACCCTGGTCCCTGACACCATCACTTCTTCCCTGGACAACAGCAATGTCTTTTCACTGTTTACTTACCCAACATAGTCATTACATTGTGGAACCAGAGTCAGACCTGGCTGACTCTTTAAAATTTTTTTCTTCGGAAAAAGAAATTAGCAAAAAGCTATTCAGTTAGTAAGTGAATTTCGATGAATTACATATAGCAAATGGTACTGTCAAGTCCCCTTGTTTGAGGAACAGCTATCATTTATCTTGAGAATACACATGAAATGGGTTGCATGTGTTTGGCTACATAAAAAGATAAAATTTTGTAGATTTCCTGAGGTGTGCATCACATTCCAGTTTAATGCTTTTTAAATGTTTTAAAAGCTCATCTACTATAAAATTACAGAAAAACAAAGCGAAAAACTAATTTAAAAGCAGTAAAATAGCAAAGCTTACAAACAGAGAATGGATTTCTTATCTTCTGGTAACTGAAGTCTGACTCCTGGACTTACAGGCTTCCCTACATCCATCCACACCCTTTGCTTACCCCATTTTCTCTATTTCCATGCACTCTTCTTCTCTGAGAACTTTACCTGTTTTCAGTTATATGGCTGGAGATCATTCCATGACTGAAGTAACTTCTGAATGGCTAAAAAGAAGCCAATAGCATATATATTAAGATTACAATTTTATAAAACAATTACTTAAAAATTCTCGTATATGCATGAGTACACACACATATATACACACAATACATACTGTGATACATATATATGTATATATATATATACACACACACATACATACATACATACATATATGACTTCACCTAAATAATCAGCAGCAAGTAGGCATTCAAGGAACTTATAGAAGGATAATAACAGAAATGTCTCAGGAAACCAAAAAAGCAACTCTTAGTTTTTATGTGTATAGTGCTAGGATAAACATTAATAAAAAATTACTATGCAAGGTCTTGTGTCAAAAGGGTTCAAAATTACAAAAGTCGGTTTTAACCCCTAAGTAATTTGGTGTGGTGCTGTGGGTTAACGCACTAGATTGCAAAGTCAGTTTGAACTGCAAGGTCGGCAGTTCAAGCTCACCATCTGCTCCTTGGAAACCCTACACAGGGTCGCTATACGTCGGAAACGACTTGACGGCACTTAAAAACAACAAAAACAAATAATATCTGGTGGGGTGCTGCTGTGGCACTGCAAGTTAATGTGCTGGACTACAGTGTCGGTTTAAACCACAAGTTCAGGCTTACCAGTCGCTCCTTGGAAACCCTATTCAGGGTTGCTGTGAGTAGGAAATGACTCTACGGTACTTAACAACAACTACAAATAGTATCTACTGTGTCTTTTCCAATTGTTTAAGTAATACAAGGGGACTTCAAAAAGTTTGTGAAAAAATGGAATAAAAAGATAATGGAAAATTTCCATGGCCTATTGAAGCCCCCATGTATATGCTCATTGTAGAACACAATAACAGACACCTACAAGTGCTAAGAACTGCCTTGGTAACATTCTGGTACATTTTCTTCCTATTTTTCTTTTCTGGTATATCCACAGGATGTATAATTACATCATAGTTCGTCAATAGTCCTCTAGTCTTAGATATTGATGTTACTAATGAATGTTGTTATTACTGTTAAGTGTCATCTAGTCAGTTCTGAGTCACAGCGACGCTGTATAGGGTTTCTGAAGAATGGCTGGTGAGTTTGAATTGCCAGCCTTACGGTTCAAACTGATCTGGTGGTACAGGGCTTATCTACAGTACCACACTCGGACTCCACTGTAATGAATACTTTTTCTTAACTCTTATCTGCAGCTCTGATTATTTCCTTAAGGTTTTTGTTGTTGTTAAAAAGTGTCTTCTAGTCGGTTCCAACTCACAGCGACCCTATATATAGTTTCTGAGGAGCAACTGGTGGATTTGAACTGTTGACCCTGAGGTTAGAAGTCCAACTTGTAACCTACTACACTACTGTTGTTGTTGTTGTGAAGTGCCGTCGAGTCGGTTCCGACCCATAGCGACCCTGTACAGGGTTTCCAAGGGTGTAAATCTTTACGGGAGTAGAAAGCCTCATCTTTCTCCCACGGAACGGCTGGTAGTTTCTAACTGCTGACCTTAAGGTTCGCAGCCCGATTCGTAACCACTACGCTACCAGAGCTCCTTACTAGGGCTCTATAAAAAAGGCTCAAGAACAATCTAAAATAATTTAAAAACAAATCTTGAAAGGATCAACCTAATCCTGAAGTAACTTAGCTGCCTGCTAGAAAACAGCAAATGTTACATTAAAAAATACAATACAATCTATTACTTAACAACAACTATACTCAAAAATTAATAGCCATACAAAAGTCAAAAAAAAAAAAAAATGTGACCCATAACTAGAAGAAAACGGACACTTTGACAAGAATTAAATTCTAAATGGCTCATTTGTTGTGGCTTAAGATTAAGGCCAAAGTATAAGGAAACATCAACTCTAACTCCAAATGATCAAGCGTAGGGATTGTTCTGGGCCACAGTGGTATACAAGAGAACTGAGGACTGGTAGTGCAAGTCCAAGGTAGGCTCACGGGCAAGTTCAAGGTAGTTCTCGTTGATGAGTCTCTGAAGTGTCCTACGCTGGTTCTCAATTTAGATACTCAATTTATTCATGGAGTGAACTCTGGCCCTGAACCTGGTATCTCTCTCTCATTATTAACTGCTGTTTGCCTGGAAAGAACACCTGTCATTACCTGGAGGTCCAATTGACAAATGTGTGCTACTAGTGGAGAATTAACCATAGACTTATAAATGAGGTTTAAGTTCTGTTCCAAGTTCTCAACAGAATTCCTAGATGCTAGAGGCAACACCACAATGAAGAGCAATCATCTTTCTTATTGAGGTGCTGGCACAGGAAAAAACAAACTTCTTAATAGGGATAAGCACGACAGGGGAGGGACAGAGACTTATTCATAGTGAGTAACGGAGGAAATGATAAACCAAACTAGGAATGACAGCTTTGTATTTTAAAAAATATATAAACAATAAACAAACTTAACTAATTTCTTCTTTCTTTTTGACCCTTCCTTTACATACCTCACCCGCTTGAGATTCAGAAAGTTCCAGGAGGAAAGGAATTTCCGTGTCAAAATTAGCAAAGAAGTTAGTCCATTGGTGTTCAAAAGTCACTAAATCCTATGAAGAAAATTAAAAAGATAATCTGGTTGGTCATATAATAAGGATACTTTAGAAAAACAAAACCATGAAACTGCATTTGATCTGAAAATACCAGGGCATTCAAGTATGTTGTTTTCAAAGGCAGAAATGAACTACTGATAAATGCTACCACATGGATACATTAAAAAAAAAAATTATGCCAAGTGAAAGAATCAAGAGAAAAAAAGACAACTTGGCACATGATTCCATTTATATGAAATATCTAGAAAAGACAAATCTATAGAGACAGAAAGTAGATTAGTGTTTGCTTGGGGCTAGAAGTGGGAATGGAAACTGATGGAAAGAAAGCATGAGGGATCTTTTTGGATTGATAGAAAGTGGATTGTAGTAATGCCTTCATAATTCTGTAAACTTACTAAAACTTATTGTCTAGTTGTAGTGCTGTAGGATCAGCACTGCAGTTCAAACCATAATGTCAGCAGTTCACACCCACCAGCTGCTTCATGGAAACCCTATACAGAATCATTATGATCAGAACCGACTCAATGGCACTTAACAACAACAGTAATAGTATGCTTAAAATGAGTAG